GTACAGAGTTAGGAAACAGTATGGACCAGTCTACCAGTGATGGAGGTAGCACCTCTCCAGACCTCGAAGACTGCCTGGATTCTCCAGTGGCAGCAGATTTCAGTGAGCCTCCTGAGGAGGACAGCTCAACTTATGAAGAGCAGGAAGCTGAACTTCAAGAGAAGCCCATACAGAAATTTATGACTTCCGGGGAACATTTCTATAAGCATCTTTGGAAGTTTCATCAAGAAGCTGCCAGTTCTGAAGTCTTCCACTCCCTGGAGGAAGAAATGAAGGAGAACTGCTACTCACCATGTGAATTTGGATGGGCCAAAAGGTAGGGAATGCTGAAATCTGCTTTGCAGCCTTTCCTTTGGCTCTTTGAATTTTGCAAGTGAATTGCTTAGATTTAAGTGCAGGACTATTTGCTTATAATCACCACTGATTACTGAAGATTTTGCTTTACCATCTTATTCTGATTATCCTAATCTGCTGTCTCTATTTACTCTCATCTATAAGATTTTTGCATAAGTCTGTGTTGCAAGATAGTCGTATGAGTGCTGCACTACTGTAATAATTTATGCTGTTCAGCTGAAGCTGGCTGCAGTTTGAAATTAGTGAAAAAACTCTTGTTGGCTTAATTAGGATCCAAAGGCTTTCTCATTTATTATATGATCTTTTAATTTCATTTCTCTTAGAGACGACTTAAAGACGCACCAAAAAATTCTTTCTTATTGTATGATCTTTTAATTTAAAAATTTTTCAGAGCAAATAAAACAAACATAGAAGACAAACTACTTTCAGGTCTTTGAAAGCCAGTAGAATGGTAGAAGCTCTGAACCAGAGGAGTTATACAATAAGATATGGTGCAAAACTCAGCCTTCCTTTTGGATATGCCAGGCACTGGCACATAGAATATGATCCATTCCATTTTAATCTTATTTTCCAGTGCAAAGAATATAAACTATCAGAACATAAATGATGACGTAAAGACAAGTTAAAGGTCTTCTAGAAGCCTTTAACTTACAGCTCTGGTAATTTATCTAGAAACTAATTTCTATTTTTCTACTAAGTTGCTTGAAGTCTTTTTGTTACTCTTGACATTCATCAAGCACAGAACCAGACAGTCAGAGATTCCAGTCTCGGGAGTCACATCCCAAGCTGACTGCAAGTCAAGTTGGGCCATAATGGAAATTCAGACTTTAAGCTCTTCTCTTTTGAGAGAACCTTCACTCACAATTATGAGTGAAGGTCCTGCTTACATATATGCTTCCCTACTGCTGAGAGTAAAACCAACAGGAATATGTCTGTAACAAACATACTTGCCAAGAGATACAGTTTCAACAAATCTAAGTTTACTGTGGGAAAATACCAATTCCAAGAAAAAATTTGGATTCTTCCCAAGAAAGAAGTTCCGAAATACAGCTTTTAAAAATTTGTTTGGTGCATTCTCAGTATCATTTAACTTCAGCTTTTGCATTTTCAAAAAGCAGGCAGACAAGTTTAAAATGGCATGCATTTTAAAGAATATTTTAAATATAATCTGAGTTTAAATGATCCTTCCAGCTAGAAACATACAAAAAAACCTCAGAAATAAACAGGCATTAATGAAGGAATTCCTTTTGATTAATGAATAAATTTCTTTCCTTCACATTTCTCAAAAATGTTCATGCAAATGTAGAAATCTGCTGATTTTAGAAGTTCCCTGGCTCAGGGTATCACAGGGAAAATTCCTTTTATTCTTTTTTTTATCACCACCACTAAGAAACTTTGGAAAAGCTGCTTTGAAAAACCTTAGCCTGTAGTTTTCCCCTGAGAACTCCAGGTATAGGGTCACAAGTCTCTGAAAGAAAGTTGAAAGCAGCGAGGCTCACGTATGGGCCTGCAGGACCAAGACTCATGTTATTTCCCATGGTGATGTGGAGATTGGCTCGAAGTTGTGCTACGATTAAGCCAGTGCTGGCTCATTGCCTTGAGCTCCTGTAGCTCTGCCAAGCACCTTCATACACTCTGAAGGTCAGTCAGCACTCTACTAGCACGTGACAACTTCTATGACACACACCTTGACCAATGTCAATTGAACTTATTCTTTTCTTTCCTGTCTCCGAAAGAAAGGAGCTGATTACATTTGCTGCTATGCTTAAACAGTTCTTTCAATTATCCCAGTCTTCCACAGTACCATAAGTACCTGTTGTCCAGCTATTACAGCACAAACTGTCAGCTTCATTCTCAGCTTTGCTGTGCTACTCGAGATGGCCAACTTCTGTCATTTCCTCCCTACACAGATATAAGCTAACTGACTAGACTGATTTGTCACTGAGGGCACACAGCATGAGCCTACAAATCTTTCTTATTTTCATCAGTATTTCAAAAATACTTGAGGGCTACTAGCTATATCCAACTAAAATGCCTGTTTTGCTACTGTGCTTTGTATTTTCCTTCTGATGATAAACAGCTTTTGAAAGAAGAGCTTAACACTGGGGATATTCTGTGACCTCATACAAGACATGCAACATGTATTCGTTTTAGTTGTCTATGTTTGCTTTGGAAATTGTAGACACAGTTCAGTTCTATGAAGTTCCTAAGTGACATGTATGAAATGAAACGGCACTTTTGCTATATGAAGCATTAATAAAAGTTGTGCCATTTTAAGTGTTTTTAAAATTAATGAGGTTTAACAATATTTCAATAGAGATTGATGTGAAGAAAACACATAAGTAAAAAAAAAATGCGTTTCAAGCATTTCTATTGGCTTTGATGTTAAATTTAATGGGAGACAATGCTATAGTAACGAACTCTATTAAAGTTCATTAATGATAACAGCCAAAACAATATTAAACACAACACATACAATTATAGTCTGGGCTTGAACATCAAAAGTGCTGAACACTGTCTCCAATATAGTGGAATAAAATCAATAATAATTTTAATTCAAGTAATCGAAAAATCCATTGATTTCTGTAGGACAACTCTTACGCTTCAAGGCAAGCATAAGAATAAAAGCAAGCTTACAAACAGAAGTCAGGACTTGTATTTTTTTTATGGAGAGACAGGAATCCTATTTCATGTTTCTGGTCTGTACTCTAGTTACCAAGGAAAGACCTGTACAAGCCAAGAATGTGGCTGGCATTCCTCTTTCAACAAAAATGCAAAATATAAAAACTGTGGTAGTATTGTCATGCACATACCACTTGCCAGATAAGTTAATTAAGTTGCTTTTGGCAGTGGTCTAGTAATTGTCTGATTATTCTTTTCAAGAAACAACCAAAGTACTTATTAATGCCTTAAAAAAGGGGGCAAGATTTTGGAAAGACTCTTTTCAAATTCTGAAAGCTTTTTAATCTTTTAATTATCTTTGCAAAATATTATAGGATCATAGAATCAGAGAATGGTTAGGGTTGGAAAGGACCCTAAGATCATTCAGTTCCAACCCCCTGCCATGGGCAGGGGCACATCACCATAGACCATGTCACCCAAGGCTCTGTCCAGCCTGGCCTTGAACACTGTCAAGGCTGGAGCATTCACAACTTCCTTGGGCAACCCATTCCAGTGCCTCACCACCCTCACTGTAAAGAACTGCTTCCTTATATCTAATCTAAACTTCCCCTGTTTAAGTTTAAACCCATTACCCCTTGTCCTACCACTACAGTCCCTAACGAAGAGCCCCTCCCCAGCATCCTTGTAGGCCGCCTTCAAATACTGGAAGGCTGCTATGAGGTCTCCACTATTGATTACTTATTTATTTTTATAGTAACACTGGAGAACCCAGACAGCAATTTAATACCATAACTAGTACTTCAGTTAAAATAAGGTCATGTCTAAGCAGCAGACTTTTCAGTGGCCATTTAATAAAGCATATGGAGGAAAACCCCTGCACTGCAATCTTTTTGTTTTCCAGCCACATATTTAATAAGAGTGATGATGACCTATCGAACACAAAATGTATGCCTGAAACTCTCTCTCTAACCCCTATTGATGAAGAGTATCTCACTATCAGCTCAACATCTGTGACCTCACTTTCACGAGGAGGAAGCACCGAGACACTCTCCACAACTATGGTGACCCCACAACCACGTGTCTACGGTCCCTTCTCATCATCCCTGCCAGCTAGAGAGACACATGAGAGTGACAACGACTGGGAAGACTTGGAGGAATTAGAGGATGAGAAGGAAGAAAAGGAAGCTTGTACTAAGGTATGTGATAGGCACCAAACCATTAACAGGCAGAATTCATGGGAAAAAAAATAACTTTAAGAATGGAACATTCTTAAACATTAATTTCAACTCATTATCTATGCTATTTCTGCATGGGTTTTGTTCTTCGTTCCTGAATGTCCACAATCTTCAAGTAAAGCAGACCTTCTGCAACACCCAGCTCTCCAGAATTCTTTACCATTTGCCTTAAAGGCCATGTCCTTGCTCTTGCCATCTTACTATTTCTGCAACATTCCAGAATTCTGCAGTATTATTCCTAGTTTACAAAGGTATAACAGTCTTCTAGTAGCCACTAAAATTAATTGGAGTCTTAGGTTTTTTTAATGTCATGTTTAAAACCCATGTGAAAAATCACTTTGTTACAACGATACTACGGTAATGTCCTGATAAGAAAGTGCGTTCCTTCTGCTAATTACTATTCAAAATCTAAGGCTGTCTTGCCAAATGCTGAACGTCTTGCATTCTTGCTGACACTAATTGAGC